CCCGCCCCGGAGCCCTGGGGAAGCGCAGCTGCGCGCAGGCCGCGCGGGGGCTGGCCGTGGGCACCTAAGGGCAGGGCCCCCTGCTCTGAGCCCCGACGGCCCTGGCGAGGAGCGGGGACCTGCTCTGAGCTGGGCCCAGCCCGACCCCGTGCAGGGGCGATGTGCGGCTGGTGCCCGTCTCTTTTGGGCCGATGGGGTGACCCTGGCCCGCCTGTCGCCTCCTCCCTGCCAGCCGCACGCCCCAGCTCGCTCCGTGCAGATTAACAGCCCAGCTCAGCAGGAGGAGCTGGGGGGCCCGAACCGCCCCAGGCCCCCGCAGACCTGGCCGCGCAGACGGCGCATGCAGCAGGGCTCCACGTGGGGGGCAGCGCCCAGGACTGCCTCGGCCTTGCCCGGGCTTGCAGAGACAGGCAGGCAGCTCCCTGGGCCCCGCCAGCGCCAGCTGCAAGGGGAGCAGCCGTCACAGCCGTGGCTGATCTGGGTGGGCCCCGGCTGAGCTGCCAAGGAGGAAGCAAGGCAGTGCCAGCACGGGGGTGCCCCGTGCCTCGGTCCTGCCATCTGCCCTCCCCCCCATAGGGCTGGCATAAAGCCCTACGCTGGGTCTGAGACTGGGGGTCTGGGCCCTGGTCTGCCCCTGCCCAGGGGCTTCGTGGCACTGCCAGGGGCTGCAGGAGCCACGGCAGCCTTCCGGGTGCACCCGGCACAGAGGTCGGGCCGGGCCCTGCTGTGTGGGGGGCAGAGCCCCCAGCCCCACATATAGGGACAGACATCGCCTGCCCAGGCAGCCGTCCGTGCCCAGAGACCCGCACTGGGCCCTGGTCCCAGTGCACAGCTGCACCAGGGCCAGCTCACAGCCTGGCTGGGGCCAAGCAGCAGCACCCATGCCTGCGCCCAGGGCCATGGGACCAGCTCCCAGAGCTGCTGGGGCATTTAGGGCCTCGCTGGGCTGCAGCTGTGGGGCTTGAAGCTGTCTTGCTCTTCCCTGTTGCATGCCCCAGGCCAGTGTGAGCAGGTGGCCCCCGCTACCTGCCCCGCGGAGGAAAATGCCAGGGCAGGCCCCGCTCCGCTCTGCTCCCAGGCCACGGCCCAGATGTCCCAGGCTGGGGCCGGTGGGGGCTGCAGCTGCTGGAGCCTCACACCACCTCCAGGTGAGCGCAGCGGCCCGGACCCCGGCAGGGGGGCATGGCCACGCCAGCAGCCCCTGTGCCCTGCAGTGACCACCGGGCTGGGGGGCAGGAGGGTCTGGCTGGGCCTGAGCAGGCAGCCCCTCTCCTTGGGGAGC